GGCTTGAGGACCTTCTGCTCTCTGCCCCACTACAAGCCCATCATGAAAGTATACTCCAAAAGAGATCCTGACATTGGGTAGATGGTCACGTATCACAGAAGCACGTATGTGAGCAGCAAAACCAGCAACGCTAGGTTTCACAGATATTTGTCTCCACAGAATGAGCTCCCACATGGATTCTTTGACACCGAGTAAGTAATCCAGCTCACACTGCAATCCTTCATTGGGGAATAGACGGAGGTGGGTGGGAGGATTAACAGAGACAGGTCCCTCTGTCCAACAGCTTTTTTTTGCCTCAGCAAAGCTTATAGCAACATAGTATCTTTGAGGCCTGGGCCTGTATGAGGAAACTCAGCAGAAATTGGCCTGCAGCTGAGAAGAGGAAGGGGAACTGCCTGAGAGAAGAACAGCACAAGTGAGCAACGGTTGGGAAGCGGACTGAAGATGGGTGCACATGCGTTTCAAAAGGCAGTCTAAAAGTGGTTTAAACAAAAGTGTGTTCCCATTTTATTTCATTATGGATGTGTGTCAAAAAAAGGCAGATGGCTCAAAAATCATTTGAGGCTTTCAAAAATAATGATGACATCAGGAACAAGAATCACTGTCATTTTGGACTTCTCCTAAATAGGTTCTTGAGGAATTTCAAAAGGGTCACAATTTCAGCTTTTTTAGACAATGGTATTTAGATATTATATTGTCAAATGTCTCAAAGATAGACCAGGGTTAAAGTTCTAAACAGACTAAGATTTTTCCACTGTTCAATTTTTAATCTTTTACACCACTGCTGATACACTGACCAGAATTTTCCAGAGCGCAAACAAATATATCATTTTGCATTTATTGTCATAAAGAGAAGAACATTTTCAAAAGTCATGAAGAACTTTAAGCTTTCCTCATGTCACCAGATAGCTTTGCCTTTAGGCGAGAGAACCACAGGGAACCTGCCGGGTTTTCTATTTTCAAGATCACTTTCCATGTCTCACTCTGCCTGCAGGCAGAGAGAGAATACACACAAATGGTACAATCTTCTGAAACAGGTTAGAGGGCAGTCTGTGAACTACATGACTCAAACTATATTAATACCAGTTAGTACGCATGTACTGAAACAAGCGATCCAAAAAGCCAGGTCAATACCGGAAAATACTTAATTCAAAACGACACCAAATCTGGTCCTTCTCATTGCGTCCAACAAAACACCCAAGATGTTCAGAGACTCAAAGCCAAAGTGAAGTGTTTCTACAGCAAAAATGGCTTGAGAGAAAAGTAACTACAGTAGCAAGTGTGTTGCATACTTAGAAACTATTACTTCTACAAGGGGAAAGATGTATTTGGAAAAGGATGGATTTCTGGTCATTGATCACAGCAAGTCATTGAACCCTCATTAATAAACGTATATGAATAAACAGGGAGTGGTACATTTGAGTATCCCAAAATGACTATTAATACAGAAAGCTCCCATAGGAGAGTTGGCAACACTTCTACAGCACAAGTTTGGCCACCATAATGGTAGAACACAGTACCAGATATCTACGAGCACGGCCAAAGATAGATCATGATCCACAGGTCAGTCACAAAATCTAGGAATCATGCTTGAACGTTTGACTCATATTAGGCCCCAAGGATACAATGAAGAATAGCAAAGGAAAAAAAAAAAAAAGATCCTGCTGGCACAACTGCTGCCATGACATAGCAAGTTTACAGTCACTGCATACAAATCAGGAAGGGAAAACAAAATAAGTCATCAGGACACAAGGAAGTGCAAAGCACAAAATGACAAGACAAAATTCTAATAAGACACTTGAAAGACAATGAACCTAAGAGCAGTTTATGTGCCTGCACTACTTTAAAGCAACGAATGCATTCAAAACCTACTAAGCAATCACCGTTTCGGGAGAAAAGAACAGTACAGAGAATTTAAAATGCTAAACACAACATACTGACAATGGAGCAGAATAGAACAAACCTTATCACTAGCTCACCTTCAATTCTACTACCAGCAGATAGTACTTTAACTTGCTACCTCTAGGTTGAGGGGGAACTGTCATAGTGTATGTGCAGAGATCCATGTCATTTTGTGACCACATCAACAAACATTTAAGTGACCTAAAGAGAGCAACAAGAGAGGTTTCAAAATGCAAAGCATTATTAGCTACGGGAGATTTTTAATGTGGAAGGAAACATGAACACAAAAGCCTAAAGTAACAGAACAATAAGTGTTCTATAACAAATCACCACACTTATCAGCAACCTATTGCTTTGGCTACTCAATATCTTTCATGTTATTCCTTCTTAATCTTCAAGAACAAAGCTTATGGGAAATCGGCTTTGATATCACCTGATGGGCAGAATATAAGAGATGTCATACTGTACAGACAGGAATCAAAAGATCACAACTAATTTATTTCAGACCGTAAACTAGCATGGCCATCCATGAGACTCACAGCAAACAAAACATGCTGAGAGCCAAGACCTCTGATGTAAAAATACTGAAAACATACCACAAAAGAACACTGAGAAGCTGTGCAGAAACCAACCTATCCTTTCTAAAAGAAAAAGCAAAAATTGAAAAAATATATACACATGGAACAACATAAAGCAGGATTATGAGAGCCACTGAACAATCACTGAAATAAAAGACCAGAGAGCAGGATATCAAGGCAGTTAACAGATGAAGCGTTGCGGTTGAACTCCATACATAAGAGACTGAAGGTGAATAAAAAAAGCAAATGAAAGACTTAAGGAAACCAATAACCCTCTTTTCCCAGAGACGCACACAGATACTATATTAGAACATAAAGAGAAGGAGTAGAATATCTGACCTAGAGATATTAGCAATCTAAAAGTAGGTAACTAACTAAGGCTAAGCTAATAAAGAACAAGCAATAGCAAGAGTAACTACAGGAGTTGTATACGATACAAAACACTACATTAAAGTATGGGAAGCTCCTTCAGGATATAAGTGATGGAAAATAGATGTTAAAAACCGTCAGAATTAGCAGGGTCTTCAAGAGAGTGCTTGGATGAAAAGGGGAAAGACAGCAAGAAGCAATCACGCAACTACAGTTGTGCTGCAAGCATTTGAAAAAAATACAGTAAAGGCAACACACAACCTATTCAACCAGACTTACAAATGAGAACAACTAGCAGTGAATGGGGCACAAAGCAGGAACAGTAATGACCTAAAGGAAGAAAAACAGAACGCGGTGCCAAGACTACAGAAGAATTCTCTTGCTGAGTGGGCTTGGGTAGAGGAGAACAAAGACATATGCAAAAGCACTTGAAGAACTGCAGGCCAGATTTAGACCAGAGCAAAGAACAGATCAATTCTTTGCAGCTGGATAAATCTAGAAGAAAAATACACCAACAGCATCCTCGACTCTGAAGACGCTATGACAAGTTTTGAGAATGCCTGGTCCTCCAGAAATTGATAGCTAAATGAATGAGTCCAAAATAGCAGAACAGAATATTTCAGATTGCTTGTGGGTGATGAGAATACTCACCTTTAACAGTTTTGTTTAGTTTAGCAAGGTAATAGCGAAGGTTTGAATACTAAGAAGAGGGATACTAAGAAAGGGAAGAGTTACAGTAGACAGGAAGACGACAAATGTATTTAGGTCTGCACATGATAGTGACCTCATAGTATCGGTCAAGATGGATGTATAGAAAATTATGAGTAAAGTTGAACTGAAATGAGGATCAGCACAAGACAAAAAAACAAATCAAAAACACATCAACTGGAAGACAAGAGACAAGGATGAAAAACCCAAGACCAAGCTGAAAAAACCTCCTTGATTATGTTGAAGAATGCATATACTGACACAGACTTTAAAAAAAAAAAAAACCACAGAAAATAGTGCGAGTCTAGAAGGTTGAACATATTTAGAGAAAAAGGCATCTCTCGTGGCTGTGACCAAAGTTTTGTCACATAAGGAATGCTGACAAATTAACAACTGACTACCAAAATGAACTCTGGGGTTGGAGTGGTTACTGAGAGATTCAGAGTCAGATTTAGTAGTAACAAAACAGGAAAAAAAACACTGACGCTCAGGACTTGCATCAAGAAGGTACCCAGAAGGATACCGTACCTCCTGATACATGTCATAAAATAAGGATTAGCAATAAAAAATTAGAAGGAAAAAAACAAAGATGCATGTGATGGAAACAGTGACCAGTAGAACAGAATCAAAGGCCTTAGAAACAAAGGCAAGTTTGATACTGTGATTGTGCAAAGCAAGGAAGAGACTTGTTCTGTAACCACCAAACTAAGAGAATAAAACAGTACAACAGTGTTACAACACTAGTACGCAAGGTGCCACTGCCTAATCTTTTGTTCAGGCAAGCAAAAACAAAAGATCTGGATAAATAACTGCATTTTGTAGCCTACTCAATATCTTCATATTTTCTCTGTAAAACAGAGAAAAGTTATTTGGGAAAAATGCTTTTAAAAACAAGGAGCGGTAAATAAGGTTTTCAGGATTCAGACTGCTTCCCTTAGTAAAAACATATTCCTGGGCTAAACAAAATTCTTCTGAACGCCTCTTGGTTCCCAAGAGATCACAGAGGAGCACGTCATTTCGTCTTCTGTGTACTAAAACCCAATTCCTTTCAACGCGCTGCAGCAGAGCTCTTGTTCTGCAAGCCATAGAAGTACCAGGAGGCTCTCTCAGGACCTGAGAAGTTGGAATACCTCGCTGTGCCGAACAACCGCAGCTCTCGGGAGCACAGTCCCAGCACCAGCAAACTCCCGCCTCGTGCAAGTTTTGCAGCTTGCTTAGGCAAGCTTCTAAGGTTACATCTAAACCAAGCTCTGCTGCCGGGGCCTCCATGCAGAGCATTCAGCAAGCGTTCAACCATGCAAGCCGCCCAACAGAGCGCAACGAAAACAGAGCCTCATCTTGGCCCCTTGACTTTTTTTTCTTTCCTCCTCCTTTCTTTCTTTTTCAATCACACACAGAGAACTCCAGCTATGCAATTTGTTCCGCTAAACGCCACGGCAGTACCTGCATAAGCAAGGATTACTCCGGCGAGCGAGGGTCACCGG